GCTGGTATAGATATGATCTGTCAGTGTCACTGTATGATTAGTGATTCTAGTAGGTTTAGTTATTACTGGTAAAAGATCAAGGGAGTAGATCATATCAAGGTATCTCTCTGTTTGCTGGTGTGAATGATACTTCAAAAGGTCAATATTCATATCACCCATTATATACATATCATATTTGCTTGGATTAAGTTTGTTTAAGAATTAATCAAATGTAAGCGTAAATTCTTCCACATTTGCAGGCGGGTGTTTGTAGATACAGCCAATCATAATGTGCTTTCTGTTGTTGTTCGGGTCAATTTCAACCCAACAGGACTCAACTAATGGTAGATCTATCTTTAAATCAGGTCTTGGAATGGCTTTGAGAACTTTGTTAACATAAAGAGCTGCACCTCCTGCACGTGTTGGTGAATCAGTATGAAAAAAATATATACTTAGGTATATCAAGATGAGAGATTCTGTTATAGCTACAATGTCCAGTCTTGAGTCCAAGGAACATAACACGTCATTTGATAGGGTCGGATTTTTCGTTAAACTTCTTATATTGCAGTGGAAAAGGAAAAAAACCTTTATCCTGGGTAGTATTGAACATATTATTCACCTTTGATACAATATAGTACTCAGACTGTGGATTGATAAACATTGTCAAACTCATTAATAATTCATGACATTATAAGCCAATTAGAGCGCCCCATTCGGTTCAGGTGGATGACTTTGAAACTCAATGAAACACCAGTTGAAAATCACTAGTGTTTTATCACGTTTTCATCCCTAGTGTTTCATCACGTTTTCCTCACTAGTGATAAAATTGTTCTTAATCTGCATATTCATAGATTACTTAAGCACAGCTTAACATAAATCATTAATTTTTGATAAACAATGGCCAGGAAAGACATTTCAAACTACAAACTGACAAGCTCAAGTCATTTGAAATTAAAGTTTAAAGTACATTTCTTTCTTCGCTTTCAAACCAACGCCAGCTCGAGTCCCATCCTTCATTTCTGCGTCCAATATTCGTCTAAAGATATCAAATCTAATGAGGAAAAAAGAAAAAGTTCGATGCAATTTCCTTAAGAGCGGCTTTCCGTAAATATTGACCCACGGTCGGCACAAGTTCAAAATTTGATTTCGCTCATTTTTGGCTCATCGATAACCCTTAATGAGTAATGAAACATGCTGTAGTTAGTTTTCCCAAATAACGTTTTCTTTTGTTAAAATTCGAGAAAACTCATTTTGCCCGTTCGGAGCTCAAAACCACTTCCGGTAAAGCGACATTTTGTACAAATTTCATTGACTCGTACGTCAAACCACAACGATTTGGCAGCCTTTGAGGAACTCGAATAGTTTCTATGACCCTTTCTTTCTTATAAGACGATAAATTTGTGAAAGCTGTAATAATTTTGTGGCCAAAAAGGCATTGTGAAAAAATAGGCCCTATTGATGATTTCTACCGTTCAAAATTATAGCAAGAGAGAGAGAGACTCATTCTCTCTTGATTATAGGGATAAAATAATGCAAATTTTTACAATGCGCTATAAAAAAATTTTGCAATTGACTCTCTATGGCTTAACAAGCACTAGGCAAAATAACTTATTTAGGTCCAGTTTAAGCAACATTAAATAAGTATTAAATTTGAAGATAGTTTTAAGTGAGATTTAAGGATATTAAACATGACTTAAAAGCAAAGTTTATTTTAAGTCATGTTTACGTTTAAGTTAAATGCATATTAAAACTAGCTTTATATTTAAGATATATTTAAGTCATCCCTAAATCACTGTAAGGATTTAATTACATTTAAGTCTTCTTAAATATGTCATTAAACGGAATGAAAGCTTTAAGACAAATTTAAGTCTTCTTAAATATACCATTAAATGGACTGAAAGATTTAAGACAAATTTAAGTCTTCTTAAATATATCATTAATTATAAACGGACTGAAAGATATAAGACAAATTAAAGTTTTCTTAGATATACCAAAAATTTAATACCAGATTAAGTCGTATATTAT